ACAATACTTTCACTAACCACATTTTAAGCACATAGATTTTAAAAACAGGAGCAAACACACCAGGGTAAGATGCTGCACTGGAAAAACAAAAAGATCAACTCTTGGCTCAAGGTTCTGTCTCAGCTACAACTAGTGTTCAAACATAGCCTCGAGGTTGAGACTATGAGAACTTTAGCCAGAGGAGTTGGCTTACGGGAGGGGACCATTGTGGGTCCCTACCACACAACTCTGGTAACCTGCAGCACAGCAGAAAGCTTGGATCCTTGATGCTCAATGGAGGCTACCCTTTGGTGTCCTATTGATGTGTTTCCTTTCAATCTAGCAGCCCTTAAGTAGCGGTACCCATTCTCCAGACACCAAAAGAAAGGCACAAAGGCAGCAGCCTGAAAGTTTATAGAAAATTTAAATAAATAATTGTTGAGAACTATTACAGCCTGGAAATTGAACCAGATGTTCTCATCCAAGGCCCCAAGAGTTTCAACAAAATAATACCAGAAAGACATCTCCAAGACATGTCCGATTAAAATTGTTGAGTGCCAATGACAAGGACAGAATATTAAAAACTTCAAGAGTTAAAACACAGAGCTTCCATATGATCCAGCAATTCTACTCCTAGGAATTTACCCAAAGGACACAGAAACACCAATTCCAAAGAACACCTGCACCCCTATGTTTATAGCAGCACTGTTTACAATAGCTAAGCTTTGGAAACAACCCAAATGCCCAAAAATAGATGACTGGATCAAGAAGATGTGGTACATATATACCATGGAATATTACTCAGCATTCAAAAAAGATAAACACATGCAATTTGCAGCAACATGGATGGCGCTGGAAGGGATCATGCTCAGTGAAATAAGCCAAAAAGAAAAAGAAAAATACCGGATGGTCTCACTCATAGCAGGAATCTAGAAAACTTAAATAAGGGACCAGGAAAATGAGTAACTATAAGAAAGTGAAAATCAAAATCAGCAAAAAACTATGAACCAGAGACACTTTTAGGGGGGCGGGGGCGGGAGGGGAGGGATTGGGGTCAGAATGGGGGGGCTGCAATTGTATGGGGAATATAACAATAAAATTTATTATCTAATAAAAAAAATAAAATAAAATTATAGATGCTAACAAATAAAAAAAAAATAAAAACTTCAAGAGTAAAATGAGTAACCTATAAGGAGCACCAATTAGAATGTGTACTTTTCAGTAGAAATAAAAGGCAATGTCAGGAAGTATTTAAAGTACTCAAAGAAAAAGATTTCCAGCATTGAAGACTTTACCCCGCAAGATGAAAACTTTTTTGTGATTGGCTAGTCCACTGCCCTGAGTATTGAGGGGCACCAAGTGTAGGTACTATTCTTAGTGCAATGATTGGAAAAGCTGCCTATAAACTTTTCGTATGGATAATGGGACCCTGAATAAAACCTTAAAAAAACCTGCCTTGTCACAAAGCCCGCAAAAGGAGCAATATCATGGTTGAAAACTTTGTGTCAAGAGCCAGATAATGAGCAATTTAGGCTCCATGGGTCATATTAAGCTTGTTGAATATTTATTTTCTTTTTAAAATATCCTATGAAATATAAAAACCCTTCTTAGCTTGAGGCGCTGTACAAAAAGCAGCTGCTTCCTGATTTGTTCCAGGATTGTAACTAGGCGACCTCTGGTAGACTTTTGAAGCCTTTCTGATTCCAAGCAAGCCACAGCAAAAAGGCCAATGTAGACATGTGATTACAATCAGTTTTTAGGGAGGCCAAAAACCTCTGTCTGGGTCCAAGTCAAACAGGAAGTTTTCAAGTGTGATTATAGAAATGCATGAATGTGAAAATACTCACTTAAAAAGATCATTTTTTAATGTGGTAAAATATGTATAACAGAAAACTTAGCACTTTAACTGTTTTTAAGTGTACAGCTGAGTCATAATAAGTACATTCATATTGTGACATATATTTTCATCTTCCCAAACGTTAATGCTGTACACCCCTCCCCCTCCCTTAACTCCTTTCCTTCCCCCCCTTTTCACCCCCCAGTTCTCAGCCTCTGGCAGTTATCATTCTGCTGTCTCCATGAACTTGACTACTCTAAATACTCCAGCTAAGTGGAATCCAATAGACCTATCAGTTCTATTTCCTGGAACTCTGAGAAGAATTTAGAGTAGGCAACCTCTAGAGAGACAGTGGGTCCTAAATGAGAAACACCTAGAACAGCCTGTTTCAATCCTCTGTATATGTAGAAGAAACTCCCTTTTCTTTTTTTTAAAGATTTATTTATTTATACAAGAACCAGGGTACCGGCCAGATGTACAGGAGGGTGAGAGGATTCACCAGAGACAGAGCAGGAACACAACAGGCAGACTGATGAAATACACTGCTGAGGAAAGCAGCGGGTGAGACAGGAGAGGTCTGCCACGCCATGTGGGACCCTCACCTGCCGGCAGGGATCCAACCAGCGCTCCAGGAGCTGTGGACAGCTTTACAGCACTGCACTCAACTGTCTGTGCCACAGGGGGAGGCCTGAAACTCCCTTTTTAATTGTACCAAAACCATCTATTGTTCCCTCCCTCACAAAATCGGCGAGCTGTATTATAGCACTGAAGTCAGATCAAAGACACAAAAAGAAAAAGTCACCACTTATAATGAAGTGTAGGTGCTAAGAATGCAGATATTTCGTAGAATTATTACCAGTATAGTAAAAATACTCCACCCGATTATTTTTTAAATTTGAAAGTGATCACATTGAAGATCTGAGGTTACAAAGGAACCATAGATGAGTCAGAATTCTATTTTCCTTCTAAGCCCCCAGTGATCCCAATGGGTTTCCTTTGGGAAAGATTGGCAGGAAATAGGGGAAACTCTGGCCTTTTTTTTTTTTTTTTTTTAAGATTTATTTATTTATCCATACAAGCACTGGTTACAGTCAGAAGCACGGGAGGGTGAGAGAATTCAGCAGAGCCAGAGCGGGGAACAGAACAGGCAGACTGATGCTGAAACACAGTGCTGAGGGCAGCAGCGGGCACAACAGGAGAGGTCTGCGCGCCATGTGGGACCCTCGCCTGGCGCCTGGGGATCAAACCGGCGCTGCAGAGGCTGCAGGCAGCTTCGCAGCCCAGGAGCTCAAACGCTGCGCCACCAGGGGAGATTGAAAGGCAAATCTTATTTGTGTTTTTTTTATTTTTTTTTTTGCTTTCAGCCACTAGGGAAAAGGTGATGTTTTACAAATATATCTCCACACCCTTTTATATGTCTGTAAAGCTTTAGAGTATAGAAAATGAGAGCTAAAGATGTTCCACCTTGCATACTAAATAATGAAACTGCCACTTGAGAATGCAAACTAAGCTCTACCAAAAACACCCTTTTCCCACCCATGGAAGTTAGAAGGGAGAGAAGGACAATAAGAGAAATCTAGAACCCTCAAGTCGCTTATCAGCAGTAGACCGGGCTCCAGTGAAGATATTATGGTTCTTCTGGAAGGCATTCTCCCCTCTTCACCCAAGTACCCCAAACCTCAAAGCATGATGCTTGGACTACCAAATTACCTCCATGGTGTGTATTCATACTATGTAATGCTATAGCACAGAGGAGTGAAAAGAATGAACTAGAGCTGTATATATCCACAGGTACAAATCTTTGAAACAACACTAAGAAAAAGGCAGACACAGAACAACACAGACAATATAGCGCTGATATTACAAAATGAGTAAATTAAACCCGTAATGTGGGAAATACATATATAGGTGGCAATAGAAACGAAACAAAACTTAGGATAGTGAACAAGGAAGATGGGATTGGGGAACATGTCCAGTGATATTTATAAAGTTCTTAAAGTTTATAAATTGACCAGTAAGTACATCGGTGTTATTATTATGTTTTAAATGTAGAACAATAATCCCAAGGAACCAAATCTAAATGAAAAAATAAATGTAAATGTAAAGTTAAGTTACATGGATATGAACTGAGCTTGTTGAATTTCAGGAAATAAGAATTATCACAAAAAGGAAATCATCAACATTCTCTATAGAGACTTCATTAAGGAAAGAAATTGGTTGAGGGTAGTTTGCTCTAGAAACTACTTTTTTGTTGAAGCTGCATCAGTGCTGTTATACTTCTGACCAAAATGGTTGTCTTCAATAATTGAAAGTCAGTGTGACCTAAGTGCCAAAGGAGCTGGGTTAATTGTCCTGAATATAGTTAACAAAACCTTAATGATATAACAAGCATTGACTATATATGAGATTTACACATTCATAAGGAAAATGAGTTCTGGGTGGGAGACAAGCAGGGAGTAGCAGTCAGGAAAACCTAAATAGTCAAAATGTGAGAGGGTAAAATAGCAAGGAAGTAATTCTTCTCTAGAGATAAGAGAAATAGGGAAAATACCACAGACTATCACTATGTTACAAGAAAGAAGAGTAAATTCAACACAAAGGATCATTTGGGTAGATTTACTTTCCCCAAGATTTAATTAAGGTGGAGCATGTAGTTTAAGAGTGGACATATCTTTGGACAGCTTCACTTCCAAAAGCCACGGCATACTTAGCTAGTTTCCCAGGAAAGAGCGTATATACTGCTTTCTGGATATCTTCAGGGGTGAGGGTACAACGGTTTCTGAAATACATCATGTTGCAGGCTTCCTTAGAAATGCGCTCAAAGATGCCATTGATGAGGGTGTTCATGATGTCCAAGGTTTGGAAAGATATGCCGCTCTGGGGAACCACTTCCTTGAGGACTCTGTTTACATACAGTGAGTAGTTTCTATGGCCAAACTTGGTGCTGAGATATGATTTCTTTCTGGTGATTCGAATTGGATGTCCTCTGATGCACCTGGTGTTTCTGGTGATGAATCGGGCCATTGTAGATGTTGTCCTCATTATGGTCCCTGATGGTGAGGAGACGGGCCTACAAGTTGGGGGAGACGCCCTTATTTATACTGGGCTGACACAATCAGACTTCTGGAGCTTCTCTTTGATTGGAGGTTGCTCTACCTATGTCACAATCAGCTAGCAACAGCACTGATTTGTTGTCAAAAGGAAATCTTGTTCCTGGCCAACATAAAGCTTTTTCAAGGAGATAGAGCTGCAGAAGGATTGATATAGACTTCAGGACAGCAAAGAACACTCTAGTTTTTTTTCTATTTTATTTCTTAGAAATTTGTAGGCATAATAATAACATATTTTCAAAATTGTACAAACTCATGAAATTGAGAGGTAAGAAACTGAAAAGTATCATGAGCCTTTCATTGTGGGGGGAGGGAGAACCTGTGTATACAAGTATTCATAAATTCACTCTATAAGCAAATGAAAAAGTGATTACAAATCTTAAAATGATTATTTGAATGATAGAAATAAATATGTATAGCTAATAGCTAATCTATTTTCTAAAGTTGGGCCATCACTTTAAAAATGAATCCTAATTGGGGCCTCCCTTGTGGCGCAAGGGGGAGGAGTTTGGTACCTGCCAGGGAGCTAACACACATGGTGCAGCAGATCTCTTCTGTCTCCCACACAGTGTATTTCAGTCAGTCCGCCTGTTCTGCTCCCCGCTATGTCTCTCTCCGGTGATTCCTCTCAGGCTCCTGCACCTCTGGCCTACACCCCAGTTCTTGTATGCATAAATAAATAAATTTTAAAAAACATGAATCCTAATTTTTTTCTAGGCCCAAGGAATAGATTCGTGCATTTCCCCAGGCTCTTACTTTATGTTTGATCACAGTGTGATTGAGACTGGGTGGTATAGTTTGGGGGTGACAAATGCTTATTTTCTTTCATTTTGAGGGTTGGACAAAGGGCATCATCATGACTCTCAGTGATTATAATAACTGTGGCAGAAGTGACAAAACAGAAAACATGCCCAACAGGTGTGAGTGTACTCTGGGAACAGTTTTGCCGTCAGTGCAATAGGAACAGTTCTATTGCTGCTGTAACAAAATCACCACACATTTATTGGCTTAAAACAATGAAATCTATTATACAATTCTGAATGGGTCTGACTGGGCTAAAATCAAGTTGTCAACAGGATTGTAATTCTTTTGGAAGCTCTAGGGAAGAGCCCATCCCCTTGTTGTTGCCAGCTTCGAGAGCCTGCCTATGTTCCTTAGCTTTTCCTCTATCTTCAAAACCAGCAATTGTTGGTCAAGTCTTTCTTATGCTACACCCAACACTGAGTTTCCTGCTTCCCTCCTTTACTTAAAGCACTCTTGGAGGCCACTGTGCCTACCTGGGTGATCCAAGATAATTTCTACATCTCAAAATCCTTCATCATATCTGCAAATTCCATTCTGCTATGGAAGGTACATAGCACAGATTCCTGGGTTTGGGTTTGCCTGTCTTTTAGCAGGGACATTATCCTTCCCATCAAAACCACTGAGGGTAGTATATGGGATTGTCAGGGAAGATTTGGGTCACAGATGGTTTAGAATCTGGAGATAAGTAACACTGTCGTATATGACCGTAGCATATTTTAAAAATGCTTTCATATATGGGCTAACTTTCCTGTAATTATTTTTTTTCTAAAAATGGAGAGTGTCTTGGATTTTTACTTTCTGTACTGTATCTTTACATCCCCAAATATGCTAAAAAAGCCAATTTTATGCTTGGAGACTGGAGGATGACAGTAGAAGAGAGTTTTCTTTCCTCCTTTCATTCTCATATTCCTTCTCTAGCCTCTTCTGCTTTGCTTACAGTACTTATTCAATGCCAACCATATGCCAGACATTGGCTAAGTTGCATTGTGGAGACACAGCAATGAAGAAGACATAATTCCTATTCACAACTCAAAGTTTATTGAGGTAGATAGACATGGAAGTAATCAGCTACTATGCACAGGGCCATGATGGCTATGGCAGGGTATAGCACTCAGTCAGGGTAGTACCAAGATCACCCAGCTGCCGAGGCAGACTTTTAGAAGGTTCTAGGAGGTGATGTTTTAGTTGGACCTAAAAGGATATAGAAGTTACTCAGGCACACAGGGTGATGGTAGAGCACAGGAGAGAAGGATGTGTAAATAAGGTGCCTCCAGGGAGAGAGATGCTTTTTTTGTCTTTTGGGTGCCCTGAGTTTGACTCCTTTTCTTGTCAGGTGGAGAATATGTAATCTTCAGTGAGTGGCAAAGGAAGTGTGTTTGCCAGGGGAGAACCCGGTTTTCAGTTAAGGCAGGGGTTCTCAAGCTTGGATACCCAGTGAAGTCACCTAAAGAGATTGAAACAAGCAAACAAGCCAAGCATGCCAGGCTCAACCCCAGAATAAGTGAGTCAGATTCTGCAGGGGCAAGACTTTAAGTTTCCCATGAGCTTTTAGTGTGTACCCGGGTTTGAGGATCACTGGTTGAACTAAGATAGAACAAAATATTTTAGGGGAATATTGGGGCCTTTTAAAAAACAATGTTGGAATGGGAGTAGAAAGGGAAGAGTTAAGAGGGAGGGAGAGTAAGAAGGGGGTTAGGAGCAGGAAAGAATGGCGAGGTGACTGGATGAGGGAGGGATAGAGGAAGAGGAGCCCGTCATGGAATTCCAGGTCAGAGACAGGGAGACATGCAGACCTAGATGTAAAGTTGTTTCTGTGCATTGAGGTTGCAGCTAACTTTGCCCAAAACCCTGAGTGTTTGGACAAAAAAGAAAATTTAGAATTTAGAAGGGTTTGAGGCACTCACTTTGTTAGGGGGAAAAGATGTCCTGAGTTAATTCCATACATGCTTTGTGGACTCCACCCCCACTCCAGACCAAAGCCATCAAGATACTGGAAATGACAAATCCCATCACCACCAAAGGGAGGGTTGCTGGGACCTGAGGGCGCAGTTAAGCTGCTAAGGTTGGTATAAAACCAGACATGTGGGCCTTCGGTCATGCTCTCTCTTGCCCTCCTGGTTCTTGGCTCTCTGCCAGCTCTCAAGTGCCATTGGGATTCCAGGTGGGTGAAATGGGTAGGACACATTTAAGACTTTTTTTCCCCTCTTTTCTCCCTGAGTTGTACATTTTCTCATTTCCCCTTCCCTTGTAAATAAACCTTTTATTAACCTTTTGTTTGTGCCTGCAGTAGAGTATTAATAAGTCCCTTTTGAGTGCGCGGGTTGGGACCCACAGTCAGGCAACCCGTTGTATATCGGGGTTGCCCTGTAACAACTTTTGCACTCACTCATGTACTCACTCACACTTTCCATGTTCTCCCTTCCTGACTGTTGACTGTTCTCTGGCTTACCTCATTTCTTATTGACTTTATCCTACCTCTGCTATGTCCTGAGCTTGACACTCCTCACCTCCCCAGGACAGCGTGCTCTCTGTCCTACAGCTGTTACCTGTGTGTTGTGTTGCTGCTAATCTGAAAGCCAGGTCATTGTCCTCAGGTGATAATTAGATTAGCTTTGTGCAGATTAAGAACCTAAAAAAGGAATTAACCTTGAAAGTAAGTAGAAGGTTGTCAATTTCTGATGAGGTTCCTGGTGGATCTGCTGCTTTTAGAAGAAAACAGAAAATGTACTGGAGTAAGAGAGAAGAAAAATTTTAATCTTGTTTTGAGCTCTGGTTCACATATTTTAGTAAAACACCAATTAATCATGAAGTAACCCTCCCTGAATCAACAGATTTATCTTGGTAAAATGGATTTTCTTTTTACTATAATGAGTGCCCTTGCTAAGCACATCAGATAGGAATAAAAGTTGCCCTATGGGTCACATGGCTGGGAAGTTGTGGAGCCTGCAGGTAAATAGAGGCCCATTAGACATCCAAGCTGGAGCTCTTAACCACTATTCACATGTTTATCACTAGGTAGCCCAGAGGGGGTATGTCCTAAGCAAGAGGGAAAGAATGAATAACAACAGAGTGACATGAAATCAAGTTATGTTCAAGAATGAGGTGTAACTGGTTTGCTCCAGTAGACAGACACTCAAAGAGCTGAGAGAGATGGTTGCAAAGGACAGGGAGCTTAATTTATAAAATGTCTTAACAATGTAATCTAAAGTATTAAAACTATTTTATAAGTAACTGAGAATTTGAAGCATGTAAATGATTGGCTCAAAGTAATGTTTAGAGAGAACCATCTTGGTGTGGGTAGAAGAGGGATTAGAATAAGAAGGAAGAATAAAAAGTCCAGCAATGTCGATGTTCAGTGGCTCAAGGATGGGACAATACAAGTCTGAACTGGGGGTGTTGTAGAGCAACCCCGATACAAAATGGGGTGCCTGACTGTGGGTCCTCCCCCGTGTGCTTAAAAGGACTTATCAATGCTCTACTGCAGGCACACGCGAAAGGTTAATAAAAGGTTTATTAACAAGGGAAGGGGAAATGAGGAAATGTACAGCTCAGGGGGAAAAGTGGGAGACAAAGTTTTAAATGACTCCTACCCAATCCGCCGATCAGGAATCCCAAAATGGCGCTCTGAGAGCTGGCTGCGAGCCAGGAGCCGTGAAGCCAGGAGGGGAGTGATAGCGAGCCCCCCCAAGGCCCACGTGTTTGGTTTTTATATCCAACCTGGCTGCCCAACTCCACCCTCAGGTCCCGGCCACCCTCCCTTTGGTGGTGACGGGATTTGTCTTTCCCAATGTCCTGATGGTTTTAGTCTGGAGTGGGGGTGGGGTCCACAAAGCCTGTATGGGATTAGCTCAGGACACCATTTCCCCCTAACAGGGGTAGTGCGAATGGAAAGAAGAAATCATTCTGGAAAAAAGAATTGAGGGCCTCCCTGGTGGCGCAGCGGTTGAGCGCTGGGTTGCGAAGTTCCTCGCGATCTCTGCGGTGCCGGTTTGATCCCCGGCTGCTCCCCGGCCACAGGAGGAGGGTCCCACATGGCGCGCAGACCTCTCCTGCCGCCTGCTGCTCCCCTCAACAGTGTACTTCGGTCCTTCTGCCTGCTCTGCTCCCCGCTCTGGCTCGGTGAATTCTCTCACCCTCCCGCGCTTCTGACTGTACCTAGTGCATGTATAAACAAATAAACAAACAAATAAATAAATAAAAATACATGCCTCTTTTAAAAAAAAAAAAGAATTGATAAGATCTGATGATGAATTTACTACTGGGCAAAACAAAAGGAAGGGTTTAATTCAATCCTAACTTTTATCAAGCACTGTGGGGTCGAGGCACTGTGCCAAGAGCATCCCAGTGTTAACTCAGGTGGTTCTCCCAACAGCCCTGTGATATAGGTACTGTCATTATCAACATCTCCTTTACACAGGTGAGGAAACTAAGACAGAAAAGTCAAGTAACTGCCCTCTCAGATCACATGGCTGGTTAGTAGCAGAGCTGGGATTCCAACATAAGCACATATCTGCAGACCCAGGCTCCTCACTCTCAGGTATGATGCTTTTCTCAGGATTCCATGTATGTATCATGCTGTACCTGTTATGTGTGTGTCTGACCAATGCACTTTGTGTGACCTTAACAAGAGTCCAAGAAAGGAGGCAGCATCATGTGCACTTCCTGGCTCACAATTGTAAATTTCACCACTGCCAACAAGTGGAAAACCAAGACTTGAACCCAGATGTTCTGACTCTATCACCAATACCATGGTGATATTTACCATGGGTAAACAAAGGCCCAATACCATGGGTAAAGCCTCATGCTCTAGATTACTGGGAGGAAAGAAGGAAAATTCCTTAACCAAAACAGTACAGTTGGAGCAATGGAGAAGATGTGATTTTATGGTTTAGGATGAAAAATCTGATTTTAAGCCCCCTAAAAGAGTTGCTTTTCTCATTTTCTATTAAGCAAAACCCTTAAGCCTGTGGGGAGTGTGTGTGTGTACATATACACATATAAAAAGGAATCATAGGTCTCCCCGGTGGCGCAGCAGTTGAGCGCTGGGTTGCGAAGCTGCCCACAGCCTCTGCAGCACCAGTTCAATCCCTGGCTGCTGGGGGAGGGTCCCACATGGCACGCAGATCTCTCCTGCTGCACCCGCTGCTCCCCTCAGCAGTGTACTTCAGTCTGCCTGCTTTGCTCCCCACTCTGGCGCTGGTGAATTCTCTCACCCGCCGGCACTTCTGACTGTACCCAGTGCTTGTATAAATAAATTAATAAATCTTAAAAAAATAAAAATAAAAAGGAATCATTTCTTCCCTCCATAAGGGAGAGATAGTCATCATATAGCTTTACATTCTAGACAGCTCAGAGAGAAAAAAACACATCTTTATCGAGAGGGAAAAGGTGATTGATTCTAAATTAGGAAAAAGGGATTTAAAGAAGGAAGCCCATGCTCAGAATCCTAATAAGATTATAAAAACACATCTCTCCAGCTGTCCCTCAATGCCCTTTTAAGCTGGTTTATACATGAAAATCCACAGAAAGACAAGTATCTTAAATATCATAGAATTAGAGCTGATAAGCATAGTAAGATAATTGTGTTTGTTGCAAAACGGCTAAAGCAGAAACCAGGAGTTACCTAGTATCTCTCTTAAAATATAATACATCAAACAGTTTCCCATTCCAAGTGATAAAATCTTGCTTTGGTTCCAAAGGGAAAAATATTTGGTATTTTTGAATTTAATTGAATTCAAATATATAAGTACAGTATCTCTCTAAGGCCCAATAAAAGAATACAAGTCTTTCAGCAGCTCAGACTGAAGACATTCGCAAAACTCGTTTTCAGTGTTCTTGCTGCTGATTTTTATTTTAGCACCAGCTTCTGATGTAACAGTCTCTCTCTGGGCAAGGCTGTGGCACTACAGATCTGTTAGAAGAATGATGGAATAAGTGGGCTAGCTTGCTTAAAATTGTGCTGGAGACTACCCTCTGAAGATGTGATCTCTGTTCTTTGTCTTCTGAATCAACATATATGCTTGGCATGTGCAGAGTACTTCTACTTTCCAAAGTATTTGGAATTTATGACTTAAAAGAATGCTACCATACCCAGTAGTAGACTTGGTCAGCTTCCCTGATGAGGTCCCATTCTCCTCTCTCTTGGACAATAATGGGTTGTTGGGGCCTCCCTGGTAGTGCAAAGGTTTAAGTCTCAGCACTATGAAGCTATCCGCAGACACTGTAGCACAAGTTCGATCCTGGCCAGGGAGCTAACTCACATGGTGCAGCAGACCTCTCCTGTCTCACCCACTACTCCCCTCAGCAAGGTATTTCAGTCAATCTGTCTGTTCTGCTCCCCTCTCTGTCTCTGGTGAATCCTCTTACCCCCCCCCACCCCCCCGCACCTCTGGGCCATACCCCAGTTCTTGTATGCATAAATAAACAAATCTTTAAAAAAAATGGTTTATTTTCTCACCAGGTGGGGTTTAGAGCACATTACTTACAGGGGTGTGTCTAGAAGCACAGAATGTTGTTATCAAGTATCTTTGACCAATGAAACACCTTGGCAGCACATATGATCTTCCTGCTATACAGAGGAGTTAAGTTGTGATATAATTGAACTAATACCATGGTTCTCTAATAGTGCTTCTAATAGAGCCTGCTCAGCTATGTCTTGCCTTTATGGCATTTTATCTTCATTGTTGAGAAATCATCACCCTGAGGAAGTTGAGACCATAAAACATTAAGAATTTTAAGCATGATCTTCAATTATCTTAAAAACTTCTGGTTATAAGCTGGGTGGCCCACAAATTACAGATGAAATTTAACTTGGAGAAATGATTCCCCGCACTTCAAGGATGCATGCCCAGCAGTATGGAGAAATAGTTTAGAATTAGTTTCTTTCCACTAGTTATTCTACTGAACTCAAGTATATACCCATCTCTGTAGCCTTCGTGGACTTGGTATTAGAGTCTTTCTCAAGTTATTGAAGTTCTTGCAAATCCGTGATGTGCACTCTAAGATATACCTATTCAAGGAAATTGGTCAGTTCTTTTATTCTATTTTATTTTCACATTCTTTCTACAACCATGGGTCTAGGAATGGGATTCAAATAGGCCTGGACAGTGGGAGCACTGCAGAGCTAGTATGGATTGTGCACTATGACATACATTTTCATATTGCTTGAAGCAAATGAAATGTGATTATTCTCCCCCCTTTTCCAGCCAAAATTCTACTTATTATCAGCTTCTCCAAACCCTAAAATTGTAACCATAAATAAGCAGGACTGTTAAAACCTAGCTGTTTTCAGTAGAAGTAAAAGAATATATTTTTAAGAATTTGGGTTAGGAAAAAGTGTTACAATCAAGATGAAAAAGTACAAGTCATAAAAGTTTGACCTTTTTGCCTATGTGAGACTTAAGACAACTCTATAAAAAGTAAATACATTTAAATAACAAGCCACAGACTGGGAGAAGATGTGTATAAAATATATACTCATCTAGAATAAGTATTCAGAATATGTAAAGATCTCCTAGAAATCAATTTTAAAAATAACAGTCTCTTGGGAAACTGGGCAAATTATGTGATCAGGCATTTCACATGAGGAACTGCCAAAAGGTAATATCAAAGATGGTCAACCTCAAAATAGGAAAATGCATGTTAAAACCACAGAAATCATTTCACACCAACTGGATTCATAAAAATGAATTATCCTGCTAGCACTAAATATTGACAGCAATATAAATTAATTGCTTTTATTACTATTGTTTTTTCTACTACAGGGAAGAGTGTCAATTACTAGGATCACCTTGGACACCAACTTTTTTGGAGCAGTTCCTGTTTGTGTGAATGGTAGTCGGCATTCTCAGACATAGTAACCACAGGAATGAGTTCACACCAGCTTTTTTCGAGGAAAATTCACCAAAATTGGTGAGTAATTCATGTAAACACAATAGGAACAAATTACTGAGTACTTGCTATGCATTAAATGCTTCACTTTTTCATGTTAACCTCTCAACAGCTCTAGGCAGAAGGTATTATGATCCTTGAATTAGTGATTTCATAGTTATCCCTATAATTATGCTCAATCAACTTGCATCTTAATCTATTCTCGAAAGAAATAAAAGTAGAGTGGTGCTCCAGATTTTCTATTAGAAGGTGCCCAGAAGTTCAGACTACATGGGAGTGAGCTGGCCATGTGAATGGCATCTATGTGGTAGCTTGGTGGGGAGGAAAAGAGATTAAGAATGGCCAAGCTATATATATCCTGAAATGTGATCTTGGGTAGAATTTTCTACCGTTGGGGCTAATACTGGGTAGTACATTCATATGTATCTTATTTTTTAAAGAATATGTTTAATTTAAGGTACATTTGGGAAAAAAATGTGACAGTACATAAAGCAACAATTTTCAAATGTTATTATTTAGGATCAGTGTGTGCAAAAAGCCAAAGGTAATTTGCTTAAAAGCAGTGTAAAGACAAATATTAAATAATGACATGCTATGAAAAGCTGATATGCAGATATTACAAAATCTTGATAGGTAAACTACTGGCCTTTGCATAACAAGGCTATTGCCTGACCTGCATATGGAGCTGGGGTCAGAAGAAAGTGCTGTTTACCCATTTCGGGAAGAGCCCTCTCTCACCTTCTAGGATGTCAGGAATCTTCTTATGTCTGTCTTCTTATGTCTGGAGTGTGTAGACACTCCAGATTGGAGCATTTGAGAATGCAATAAAGTTGAATCTGAGTCAGACAACAGGACCCTGATATGTCAGTTCTCCCCTGTCAGTACTGGCAATCGTAAGAGCTCAGAATTAGTGAACTCTCTGCCTTGTGAATTTTTTTTAAAAAGATTTATTTATTTATTTATAAAAGCAGTGGGTACAGTCAGAAGCGCGGGAGGGTGAGAGGATTCACCAGAGTGGGGAACAGAACAGGCAGACTGACGAAATACACTGCAGAGGGGAGCAGCGGCCACAACAGGGGAGGTCTGCACGCCATGTGGGACTGTCGTCCGGCGGCTGGGGATTAAACCGGCGCTGCAGAGGCTGCGGGCAGCTGGGCAGCTTTGCAGCCCAGCGCTCAACCGCTGCGCCACCCGGGGAGGCCCTGCCTTGTGAATTTTTTATAGGAGAAAGTCAAGGGGTCAAATCAACCATGCTCTGTGGAAGGGGCAGGAAACAATCTGTTTCTCCTTTGATGTTGCTGAGATTTCTATGACCCTGATTTTATTTCATTGTAGTAGTTGTTTTCACTTCTGAGAGGTGAAGGCTGTTCAGGGACTGTTCATCAAATATGAGCTGTGTGCCAGGCACAGTGCTGTCCAAGGACACAGAGAGAAATGTCAGGCGCTGATCTTGAAGATCTAGAGGGAACATTTTTAAGGAGAACTCGAGATGCATGGACTAAATTTAAGAAGCTAAACAAGACCAGGTAAACCCAGAAAATAACAAAAATCCCTGTATGTTATACTATGAAGAAGGAATTCAACTGGTGAAAACTGAACCCAGAATCACTGTTGCATATGGATGAATGTGTCCTTGAAAGTTCAGGTCTCCAGGTCTGTCCTTAAGTCACTACCAAAGGTATTATTTCCTAATACCTTCAGAGATAGGGTTTCCACATTTTTCTCACAACACTTATACCCAGGATCTTTTCTAATGTCTATCCTAAATCCCTCCTATTCAAAGTTAAGCCCACCTTCTTTTGGAGAAAGCGGTCTGCTATTCCAATTGTGAATGATTGCAAAGAACAATGACTGCCTACTCTGACTCCAAATCTATATTCCATTCCAAAGTCCACTATTCTCAGGTCCTCTGTTCATGAATTCTATCATCCTGTTTTTCCTTCTGTATATCCTCCCCCCATTAGCTACAGCCCCATTAGCTATAGCCCCATTAGCTACAGAGCACCTTTACTGCTTCCTTCTAATTGTATAAACATCAGTTTCTTTTTAGCTCATTGTCCCTTCTGTCATGTTTCAAATGTCTAACGTCTCACATTCTCCCTTATTGTTTTTATTTCTTCAATGTTTCCTTCTCAAATTCTAAATTTTAATTTTGCTTAGAATGCAAGTCTTTCTCCCTTTTGTGATGTTTCAGTTATATTCGGATTTCACTTGCTTCTCAGGTAATCAGTGTTGGCCTTTCATTCCATGCTTCAGCACATGATGAAGCATATTCATTTCTCACTGCCTCTAATGAGTCTTAGGACAGGGGTCTTTATTTCATGGAAATCTACAGAGGTGGGGATGGAGTGAGAAGAACAGGAAAATGCATTCATTGGGGCTCCCCCTGTGCTCGGAACACGTACGGGCAGTTAGTCGGAGACACTTCCTAAGGAGGTCTCTTTCTGTTTCTTCCCTCTGGTCTGGAACATGACTGAGGTTACCTTTGGCATGTATGCACCTGGGTAAGGTGAGGGTTTGATGGCTTTTGAGGACTGGAGTCACACCATTCAGTGTGTGATAATCTAATGAAGAAAATGATCCCGCTACTATTTTCAGTGTTTTTCTGGATTATAGTTTCTAGGACCTGGATCTTTAGGGGTGCATTAATGTTGTCGCTACCAGGGAGGGAGCAGATGGAAAATAAATATGCTCAAGGGCTCAAAGGCTATTACTGGTGCTAGGAGGAGGTAGTTAGGCAACAGGAAGTAAATACAGCAAAACAGCAGGAAAAAGATATTTATTTACCTTCGGTCCCTTCAGCAATATAAGTCAGGAGCTAGGAGCTTCTACATGGGGTGGCCTTAGCAGGTGCCTTCTAGAACCTTCTAGTCATACAGGAATGAACTCTGGGCAGCTGTATCTTCCAGACTTGAAAATGAGTTTTTCTCAATCTCAAGAGTTACACAAAGCAGAGCTGGTGGGGGATGGCAGCTGGAGATCAGTGATATGTGAATAGTTCTTTACAAAGTGATTTCCTTGTCCATCATTGGAAGGAAAGTTCGTCACAATTGCATTATGGATGAAGGACATATATCACTAATATTGCTACACAGAGGAAAAAACAGGTTCAAGGAGCTTAAATAAATTGCTTAAAGTCATGCCCTCAGTTTTAATGTTATCCCATGCTTTCCAGGGAACAAGACATTGAGGGCAGGACTGAATCCTAGTGACAGCTTCTAAGCAGTATTAATTTGATCTCTACTCACCAACTTTTGAGAATTTCAGGAATCTTAAAATTCAGGGGTTACTGTCGTCATTGTGATGATGATGATGATGATGATGATCACATAGCTACCATCGTTTAAGCATTTACCATATGCTTTTTAGACCTCTACCAATCCTAACACCAGCAATGATGCATATATTTTTTAAAGATTTATTTGTACAAGAACCGGGAGACAGGCCAGATGAGCGGGAGGTGAGAAGATTCACCAGAGACAGAGCGGGGAATAGGACAGGCCGGCTGACCAAATACTGCTGAAGGGAGCAGAGGGTGAGACAGGGAGATCTGCTGCGCCAGGTGAGATTCTCGCTGTCCGGCTGGGATCAAACCCACGCTGTAGAAGCTGCGGACAGCTTCACAGCATGGCGCTCAACCGCCTGCGCCACCAGGGAGGCCTAGCAATGATATTATTATCCCTATTTAACAGGTGTAAAAAATGAGGTCCAGGGAGATTTAGTAATTTGTCCATGATAACACTCCTAGTAAGTGGCTGATGCACGATTATAACAAAATATATTTCATTCCAAAGCCACATATTTGCATCAGGAAAAATTCAGGGGCTAACTTTAGTCTCCAGGGATGTCCCTTGTGTTCGTAAACACAGCCTTATTGGCTGTAACAGCATTTCTCCTCTCAAGGTCTCGGCCCCAGGGGGCTGCTCTGATTCTTGGTCTAGTCTGTTGTGGGTCTCTTTCCACGCTGGCTTTGGCTGCTTCATTCCTTGTTTACCATGCACTCCAGTAGTCACCCCAGTGAGGGGGACCCAGTGTGAACTATTCTTCAAGCAGCATGACTTGGGACTCCAGTTTCTTACAGAGATTTCAGCAATACAGCTCTTTATCTCTCTTCCAAGGAAGTTGGGCGTGAATCCAGAGGGGAAGGACCAAAGGATTGATTAGCATGCCCTTTGTTCTTCAAAATTGTTTTTCTCTTTAACAGCTGCTTCTTATCTTTACACAAATCACGTTGCCCCTCACATCTCCCACCTCTTAGCACACTCCTTGCCTATCTCATGAATAGGGCGCAGTGAGCTTGTCAGACATGGCTCAGTGGCCTGAACCTTCTAGACTTAATGCACCCTTAAGTCCCTTAAATTTGAAGCCCCATTATCCCCATTTTTGCAATTACTGCTTGTTATTTATATATTGGAGCCACTCCCAATAAACTGTGTTTCTGAGATTTTTGGCAACTCTTCATCGCATCCACACATAGAGCAAAATGTTTGATATGTATTTATTACATGAAAAATTAATGAATATAGGTAAATAAAACTAAGTGGCTTCTAGTTACTGCTGATTTTAGATTAGATCCTTAAATAAGCCCACTTCATTTGTGCCTCAGGATATTTGTATTTGTTTACACTCCCAGGAATTTTCTTCTCTAGAGTTCTGCATGACTTCCTTCATTCAAATTCATTATAACCTCCCCGAGAGGTTTTCCCTTAAAATTTCTTCTAAAATATAACCCCCTGAAGTCCTCAGACTCTTTACTCTGATTTAGGTTTTTCAATAGAACTGTTTCGTGTTTGTTTATTATCTTTTTACCCACTAAGTTTCATGAAGGTTGTTTTGTTTCCCACACTATCTCCAGAGACTTGAATTGTCGTTGGTAGATAGCTGATAGTAGGAGCTCAATAAATATTGGCTGAATAAATGAATTAAACTGAGACTGGCTCTCTAAAAGGGGTGCATGCCCACCTGCAGGGCTTCCTTGGTCTTTGTAATGCACTATTTTAGTGAAGACATTCAGATTCAAC